TTCATTTTCTAATATCACCCCTACCAAATAGCGGGCTTTGGATGAATACATTTTGTACTAGAAGCCAGAGAAATTAAGGTCATGTTTGGTTCAATTCTCATTCTTATCCAAGATGATTTCTAAAATGGACAAGCATAGGTAAAAATAGGCAAAATGAGAAAATATTGCTATGAACCAAACATTTTTTTCCAAAAGAAAATGAATTCTTTTCAGACTAACATGTGTCCTATGTAAAAGTGCTTTTATAAAAGTGCCTTTGTAAAAATACTTTTTTAAAAGTGGTTTCATAAAAATACTTTGATAAAAGTACTTTCATAAAAGTGTTTTTATAAAAGTACTTTCACAATAGTGCTTTTATAAAAATTCTTTCATAAAAGTACTTTGTAAAAGTGATTTCATAAAAGTACTTTTATAAAAGTGGTTTTATTAAAGTTCTTTCATAGAAGTGTTTTTGTGTAAAAGTACTTTTATAAAACTGCTTTCGTAAAAGTACTTCCATGGTAGTGCGCTAGTAAACATCTATGGAATCAGTTTTGTAGGCATATTTTCCTCAAAGAATGAAAATGAGCAAGATGGGGCATGATTGTTTTTCAACCAATTCAACCAAGTTGGATCAGTTCCACTTTGGCCATTTGTAAACCGACCAAAATCGAACGACCTAACCATGGATATATATTAATATTTTATATTTTAAATATAATTTTTAATATAAAAAAGTGGGAATTTTCCCATATTTCTTAGTCTAAAATATTTTATATCATAAATCTAATTTTTAAATATTTTATTTAATAATCACACTGTAATTTTTAAAATTAAATTAAATTTTTAAGTTTAAATCTTTTGAATAGACTGACCAAACCAAAAAATCGACCTAAACCAATACAACTTGAGTGGGTCGGTTTTCACAAAAGTTTAGTCAGTTTTAGCTTACCAACTCCCTAACCTGATCAAGTCAATTTGGTTGGCCAAATAGCCTATGACTGCACCAAACCAACTCATGAACACTCATAATTTTAGCTAAATTAATAGTCTTATCTCTAATAAATAACAATAGTTTAATCTCCCATAATTATTGAAAATTTATAGAAAAAATACACAATTATTGAAAATATATTGATAATGAAAACTACAATAGTTATAGAAATTACAAAAATACAATAAGGACTAAAAATATATAAACTTAGTCAATAAATAACATAATCTTAAATAATAGTTTAATCTATACTAAATATTAATCAATAACTTATAACAAAAACACAATAAGTACAATACATTAATTTTAAAAATTTCAATAATAGTAAAGTAATCTCCAATAATTATTGAAAGTTTTCTATTAAATAAATTAAAAAAATAAATTTATACATACTTATTGAAAATACATTTATCACAAAAGACAATAAATATTAATTTTAGTATATATAATTATATAATAAATATAGATTAAAAGTTTAAAATTATTATTTTTTGAAAGTTATTTTCTTGAATTATAACTTGATAATAGTAAAATTAATTATTTATAATATTATGTAAAAATAATAAATTATTATTAATTTCAATATTATGTTATAACTACTTTTCTACATTTTTAATTTTTTTTAAATTTATTACTTAATTTATTTATTTTAATTATTTAAAATCTAGTTATGTTAAATATTTTGTTATTTAAATACTTAAATAATATGCAAAATATTTAAAATTTAAAATATTAATTATTTATTGAATTTAATTTTCCATAAAATCATAATTTATACTATGATTACATAATTTCATTATTAAATTTGTAATGTATTAAATTATTATTCATTTAAATATTATGTTATAATTATTTTTCTACTTTGAAGAATTTTTTTAAATTTATTACATAATTTCGTTATTTTAACTATTTAAAATCTAGTTATGATAAATATTTAGTTATTTAAATATTTAAATAATCTATAAAATATTTAAAATTTTTTGTTATTTAAATTTTATTTATTTAAAGCTATTACATATTATTAAATATTTAAAAAACATTTAAATTGATAATCCAGAAAAACATAATTTAAATTGTTAGTACATAATTTTGTGATATATTTTATAAAAATATTAAATTATTTTTTGTGTTTTTAATAAATATTTTAGTTATTTTATAATTTTTCTAGAATATTTAAATAATTCTTAAATTTTTTAATCCATAGTTTCTTTAGAAAGATATAGATAAATAACTTCTTTCAAAGGAGAGACATGCTACATGGCAATACTAGTTTTAATATACATATATATATATATATATAGATAGATAGATAGATAGATAGATAGATAGATAGATAGATAAATAGATAGATAGATAGATAGATAGATAGATAGATAGATAGATAGATAGATAGATACAGATATAGATATCATAGAGAGAGAGGTAGAGAGAATGTGGAATTAAAAAAATTCAAAAAAACAGAAAATTAAGAAGAGGGGTTTGGAGAAAGGAGATCTATGGTGATGTGGACAACCTTGCTTTATATATATATATATATATATTTTATATATAGAGAGAGAGAGAGAGATGCAATTATAAAAAAGTTTATAATTAATAAATTTAATATTTTATATTTATATACATATATATTTAAAAATAATTAGCTTTTTTAACCTATTTAGTTTTTTGGATCATTTTAAACACAATAAGATTGTTGTGAATTAAATTTGAAATCAAACATAATAATCAAATGTAGATGTGGATTTAGAGATTTTATAATCGAATGTTGACACGGATGTAGTTGGATTTGATCTAAATCCAATTTGTTTATAGCCCTTCTGCCCACATTGTGTGTAGGCTTGCTAAATTTTAATAAATTTTATTAACTTTAGTAAATTTTTATTAATTTTATTTATGAAGTTCCAAATTAATAAAATATAAACTAATTTTAGGGTCCTTTTGGTTCATAGACATGACTAAAATTAGAATCGGAATCAAAATAACCTCTTCCTCGTGCCTATTTGGTTTAGCCGGGAATTGAAATTAGATTCTAATTAATGTTGTTTGGTTCATTTGGAGTTGGAATTGGAATAAACTAAAAATTTTTAATGTTATATATTTTATTTTCTTGTATTTTATACACATATAATTATTTTATTTGTATTTAATTGTTATATTATTATTACTTTAATATTGTATGAATATTTTATTATAGTACTATTATTTTAGTACAATTTTACTAATAATTTGTTAATAGTAAAAAAATAATATTTTAATATTTTAAAAAATTCATAAAAAATTATGTAATAATAGTATAAATTATGATTTTATGGATTACTAAATTCAATATATAATTAATATTTTAAAATTTTAAATAATGATATTATTTAAATAACTAAATAATATTATAAATAACTAATTTCACTTATATCAATTAATAATCCTAGAAAATAACTTTCAAAAAATTTATATCTATTAATAATAATTTTAAAATCTTAATCTATGTTTATTGTATATTTATATATACTAAAATTAATTTTATTGTATTTTTAGTAATTATCTATTGTATTTCTTTGATGAAAATTTTTCAATAATTATGTATAAATCTATTTTGGTTTTGTTTTTTAATAGAAAATTTTCAATAATTATTGGAGATTAAGCTACTGTTATTTAAATTTTTAAATCTAATTTATTGTACTTATTGTATTTTTGTTATGTATTTTTATGATAATTTATTGATTAATATTTATTAAAGATTAAACTGTTATTTGAGATTACACTATTTGTTGATTAATTTAATATATTTTCAGTTTTATTATTTTTTTAATTATTATATTTAATTTGTTTTTATTAGTTATTTCTTGTATTTTTATTATAAATTTATTTTCAATAATTGTGTATTTTTTATATAATTTTTTAATAATTATTGGAGATTAAATTATTGTTATTTATTAGATATTGGACTATTAATTTAGTTGCAATTTGGTGTGTTCATAGGTCAGTTCATTTTGGTTGCAAGCTATTTGGCCAACCAAATTGACTTGGTCAAGTTAGTGAGTTGGTCACCCGAAACAGTTTGACCATTAGTGAAAACCAACGAACTCGGGTTGTATTAGTTTGGGTCAATTTTCGATTTGGTTGGTTGGTTCAAAACATTTGAACTTCGAAAATTAAATTTAAATTTAAAAAATTAAAATGGTCGTGTCGATTCAGTTTTGGTCAGTTTTCAAATGGCCAAACCGAAATTGACCCAACTGGTTAGGTTGAAAAATTACTGAACCAAGGCCGATAGGGAATACTAGAAAGCCAATCAACTCAGGTCGAATTGGTTGGTTTCATCAATTTGATGAATAATCCTAGATAAAATTAATTATTGTTATTTTTATATTATAAAAAATTATTAAAAATAATATATAAAATATAATAATTTTTAATTATTTAAAAATTAAAATATAAAACAAATATATAGTCTTCTTAACAAAATCCGTACATTGCGCCGGTCCTGACTAGTTCCAAAGTAAAATTGGACAAATTGATACCATTTGCAGCACTAAGCGCATGGAGCCAGTAAGAGAAAGTAAAAAATGGAGATTTGCTCCTTACAGACCGCATCTTACACCGACCACACAGCCCCATGAGATGTTAGTGATGTACGGCTGGGATACGTTGTGAGGATCTCTCTGTTAGGAGCAGATCCCGACTCGGAGAAAACTTTTTACCACTCGCCAATCGCCATAGAGTTCAGAGTTCTACAAAAATACGTTAACGTGGGTCCCAACCGAGAGTCATACTCCATATAAGATTTTGTTTGCATTACTACATCTATGATCTACTCTCCGAAGGACTACGCCTCTCTATTTTTTCGTGCATGCTGTAACGAATATCTATAATATATATAGGAACCGAAGTCTTTAATCGATGATCTAGTCTGCTGTGTTCTGTTATTGTTTTCTATTCTTCTGCGTTCTACCATCAGCTACTTCTCTTTTCAATGGGCTCTCAATTTCTTTTCTTCTGTTTTTTGTTTACGTTGAGATTACAACTTTTAATGGGTTCTCAATTTAATCACTATAGTAGACTTCAACTCCCTGCGGGAACCACCGGCCCAGAAAGCTTAGCCTTCGATTGCAGAGGAGAGGGTCCTTACGTTGGAATATCTGATGGACGAATTATTAAATGGAATGGTTTCGTTTGGACCAATTATGTCATCACTTCAAGATTTAGGTAAGGAATTACAGATGAAGTTTTATTCTATTTTTATTAATTGAATGTGATTAGTTTTTTTTTTTTCAATTTAAATGCTTTTATTACTTAAAACTATTGATTTTTATGAATATTTATGCTCTGCTAATGCTTTTATTTATTTATATTTTTCATGTTGAACTAGGAGGAATTATATATGTGATGGGTCCAATGATCCGAGACTGGAAAACATATGTGGGAGACCTTTAGGTTTGCAATTTAACATGAAAACTTGTGATTTATACGTAGCGGATGCTTATTATGGGCTTATTGTTGTGGGACCGGAGCAGAAGATACCCATGCAATTGGCCACTAGTGCAGAGGGTATACCTTTCTATTTTACTAATGGATTGGATATTGATCAAAGGATGGGAATTGTTTATTTTACGGATAGCAGTACTAAGTATCAGAGAAGGTAATATTTTTTTCTTTTATTTTTAGTTATTTTTATTTTGAATTGGATATTGATGAAAGGACAGGAATTGTTTATTTTACGGATAGCAGTACTAAGTATCACAAAAGGCAATATTTTTTCTTCTATTTTTAGTTAATTTTATTTAAAAATATAAAAATTACTGATGGAAATAGATTATATGGTTTTATACATATATTTGTAGGGACTATGCAGGTTCAATCCTGAGTGGTGACAAGACAGGGAGGTTAATGAGGTACGATCCAAGGAATAGAGAGGTGACAGTGTTGCTCACAGGCCTTGCATTTGCAAATGGAGTTGCAATAAGTGACGATGGTTCATTTGTTCTTGTTACCGAGACTGGCACTGGTAGAATTTTAAGGTTCTGGCTTCAAGGTGGTAGAGCTATGACATCAGATCTTTTTATCCAATTACCTGGTCAACCTGACAACATCAAGACAAATGCTAGAGGTGAATTTTGGGTGGCAGTAAACCCTTTTGAAGGAGGACCTAGATTTATGCCAAATACAAGCTCAATGTCCATAACAAATTCTCAAGCAATGAGGATCAACAAATATGGAATAGTATTGGAAGTGTTCACTGGTACAAATGGAAATGCATTGGCAGCTGTTAGTGAAGCTCAAGAACGCAATGAGAATTTGTGGATTGGTTCAGTAGTTTTTTCTTATGTAGGGGTCTATAGGGTTTGAACTTTAGAGTGATAAGAAGAAATCATTATAAATTTTTTTTAGTGTTATCATTAGTAAATTTGTTTTTTAATTATTATTAATTTCATATCCATTGTTTTGCCATATTATTCTCAAAATTGAAGAGCAGGCTATGTGGGCAGGTCCATTGCAAAAGTTCAAAAGGGTTTATAAAAGAAATGGATGAAAAATTAGGGTTGTAAAGATCAATGTTCTTCTGAAGGGTTTTGCATCAGTAATAATTTGGTCCTTGTAGATTCAGCTAATATCAATAAAATTGTACAGTTACTGATGAAAAAAAGAAGGAATGCCGTAAAAGAAAATGTCCCATTGACAATTAAAAGAAATACTGCTCATATCATTATTCATGTCTTTTGAACCAAAGAAACCATTCCCTTAATCCAAAAAAGCACATTACTAGAAAGAGGCTGGAGTAGGAGTCAAGAGGGGTGCATGGGATATAATCAAAGAACAAAGAAAAAGAAATCAGTAAGAGAAGTTGAGAAATTCAAACAAAAAAGACTGGAGTGTGTGTGTATGTTTGTGAAAGGGAGATATCTAGATTCTACAATTTAGCTTACTTCAACCCAAACCCAATCTTTAAACAAAAATAGGAGCACAATAAAATTCATCCCATCACCATTCCTACCCACAATTGACCACATACCCTCAGATCCATATTTTTTTCCTTTTATGTTTATATCATTTTTATTTAACATGACACTAGATAATTAAGTTACAGAAAAAAAAAAAAAACTAAAGAACAAGATCATGAACGTTGTTTTTGTTTTCACAGAACAAAATCATTTATATAGGTGATCCCCCCTTATAAAACAAAAGCCGGTGATAATTCTTGAAGCTAGGTTATTTGTTAATGAGCATTCGCTGTTTGTACAATGTCAGGGTACATATGGGTTATAGACACCTTTTCTTCTCTTTTATTATCTTATTTCTTCATTTGTAGGGGGCTGCAATCAACCAGGTCATTTAACAAGGCTGTAGGTTTGATCCTCCTAAAAAAGGGCAGCCCAGTGCATGAGGCTCCTGCCAATGCGAGGTCTGGGGAGGAACAGATGTACGCAGCCTTACCCCTGCACACAGAGAGGCTGTTTCCAAGATTGAATCTTGGTCACCCAGGTCGCAGTGGAGCAACCCAACCGTTGCACCAAGGTCCACCCTCAGGTTTGATCCTCCTACATAATTCCATTTATCACTTTGTTCAGGCTACATCAATGGGCAAAGTAAGACCACTGGTCCAACCAAATGGAATAAACCCATATTCGATCAATATGACCTTGGTTCCATTACCCAAAGTCTGAAACATGGAACAGAAAAAAAAAAATAAAGGAACACCTATGGCCTAAATGGTGATATACAAATAAAAATAGAGTATAAAGTTGAATAAAATTTAGACAAAAAAGCATAGACATAACAAAACCAGTGGTGGAATTGCAACATGGGAAAGGGTCGACCACAATTTAATCAACCCAGCCCAACAATAAGGTGGATGATTAAGGCATAAAAAAAAAGCAATTGAATGATGTATATTACATGTTCTAAGATAAAAGGTGGTGTTTCAGTTCATGGTGTCTGGTTTTAGTGGTAAGAGCAGTGGCATGTTTTTGAGTTTGAGCTCCTTTCAACTGATTTGTACATGATTGAAACCAAAATTAACTTGGCAAAGCCTGATCCAGCAGTTGTTAGTTTTGGACTTTTGGTTATTTAATAGAAATTGATAGGTGTCAAGCAAAAAAAAGATTTGGTTCAAGATTAGCCATGTTACAGGTTGATTGTTTAATTCCAAGAATGGACCTCTTTTGTCTCCCAACCCATCCCAACCTACCAATATGGTTGGTAAAACAGAAGAAGAAGCAAAAGAGGAGGGAAGTGGGTGGATTTTTTCCCTACCACCCAATTTGATGGTCTTGATAATTGTGATGTGAGCAGTAAGTGGGTAGAAAAGATTATTCCAAGCATCAAGGTTTTGGTTGTATAGTTTAAACAGGAATGATGCTTGTGTTTTAGCAGCAATAAAGTATGTTCTCCATCAAATACATGAAAATAAATTAGATATGTAGTTCTACCCCTTTCCCTTCCCAATCACCACCCCCTTTCTTTTGAAGCAATATAGTATGCCATTATTGCAGAAGACTAAATAACAATTGAGTTTATTCCTTTATGCAAAGAAGTATATGGCCAGTTATATCAAGGCTATGCTTTGGAGAACTCAAGCCAAGGTTAATTCCTGTTGGCTTCCTTTCTAGTTTCTAGATTGAAAAAAAAAAGGTCTTTTCAAAGAATCTGGAGTTCATCAAGGAACTTCTGGCAATTGGTTGAAAGACCATATACAGTTGTTTCTTTTAGCTTGCACAAGTGTCTAGAATTGGGCTACAAACACAACTCATGGATGGGATAATTGATAATTATTATCACCAGGACTGGCTGGACATCTTTGACAGTTAGCTAATGCATCTTTTGGTGGCTGATCTGGAAATAGTTTAGTTAATTGCTATTGGTTTCATTGTAGACCATGCCTGAATTGGATGCTTAGTTGATCCATTTTCTGATCTTATCTAGTCTTTTCTCTGAAAGAGCATCTGTTTTATAGTCATCTGCTCAGCAATTGAATGGTTTGAGACATACATATATAGCAATTGATCAGTTTGTTTTATAACTGAAGCTTGCTTTCTTCCAGGCTTTGGGCTGCCTGAAGGCAACAAAATAAATTTGGCATTTTTTGGTTCCATTTGAAGAATGCAAACTTACCTATTTGATGTTGGCAATTTCAAACTTTGCTTTAGCTGGTTGCCTCTAGATCAAAGATCAACTTTTATACTTCCATCACAAGAATATATAATTAAGAACAATTATAAAAAAAAAAAGAATATATAATTAAGAACATAAAGGCGTTTTAATTTCCTCCCTTAAAATTTTGATGGTTACTAGTTCCTTAATCACACTTGTACTAACTGATTTGCTTCCCTATATGTTTACAATTCCTGAAATATAAGGAAAGCCTGTAGAAATATCTAAAAGAGCCTCAATTAGCTGCAAAAGAGGTTGTTCTTTTAATTTTCTTCTTACAAATACCAATTTTCTTATTGTTGATTTGTTATGGCTGTTGAGTTTCTAGTTATGTTGCTTTCTGATGCTTCTAATCTATGCTTTCAAGGTTAATGGTCCTGTTCTAGTTGAGGACACTTGCCAATTTAATCTGACCTGTGGGATTGGATTCAATGAATCTCAGATTTTGGCTGAAGCCTGCCCAAATTGCATACTAGCTGTTGGTATCAAGTTAGAGAGTAAGCCCAAGTTTCATACCAGCTGCAATGTGACTTGAGAGCTATTCTACTTAGAGATGGATTTTTTGTTGCAGGGTGCTATAGGAAGAAAAAGTGTATTCCATAATAGAAAAAATTTGTAAAAGAGAAAGTGTATGCCATAATAATTTTCTTACCTAGAAAACACATAATAATATTATATTTCATTCATATTTGGATTTGACTTCAGTTTTGACCAGAATATGCACTTCTTCCAATCTCTAGGTTTGCCTCCCTCCTTCCCCATCACATATCTGAAAACTGCAAGAAAGCTAACCTCTTTCTGAAAATGGCCAGCAGACTGAGACCCTTCAAAAGAACCGTAGGTAATTGCATCACTGCATGTGGACATTTCATTCTGCCATCTTTTTAGTCCCCACCCCCATTCTTCTCAATGTTCATGGTTATTATGTTTGTAGTGTTTGAAATTTTTGTCTTCAAATTTACTTTTTGTATTCTTTTAGGCTGTATTTAGTTTGAAAGAAAAGGTAGGGAAACCTGTACAAGGTTTGTATAAGACTCCCCACCTTTCCCTACCTTTTCCTTCAAACCGAATACGGTCTTATGGATAAATCAACATATATTTAGTATCATAAAACTAATAATCAATTTTTACAACATAACACAACCAAGGAGGAGGCTTATCAGTCCATACAACCTGAGTCCAAAATTTTGTTAGTCCCCTTTTCTTGAGACAACCTAAGAAAAGGGGAAGAATTTTGTAGAAAAACAGTGAGAGCCGCCATGTTATGGACTGTATGGGAAGAAAGGAATGGGAGGATTCTTAGTGAAAGGAGTCGAACAGAAATTGGAAATCTTTGATTTGTTGAAAAGTAAAGTGGCACATTGGGTGAAGACCCTGGAGGATTTCCAAGGTTTCTCAACAAATGAAATTTTGAGAACTTGGAAGGAAGTGGCTACATCGGCTCAAGCGAAGGAAAGGGTAAATATTGGAATGGAGACCCCCAGCAACCAAGTTTGTTAAACTCAGTTTTGATGGGAGTTATATTGGTAGTCAGGTTGCGGCTGGGCTGGGAGGGGTGTTAGAGACACGAAAGGAAAGGTTTTAGCACTGTATTCAGATCCATTAACAGATGGTAATGCATTGACAGCAGATCTGTGTGGATTACTCCATGGGTTAAAATTTACTAAGCAATTCGGTTTCCACAACTTGGGGGTGGAAGGGGACTCTTAGGTGTTCATTTCATGGACAAGATGTAGCTCCCAAATCCCATGGGTCAATAGATATACTTTTCGGGAAATAGAAAGCATATCAAGGGAGCTGAATGTTGTCTTTAAATGGGTGAAAAGATAAGAAAATGAGATGGCGAATGTTTTGGCCAACAAGGGACAGCATGGCACCAAATGTTTTGGGCAAAAGTATAAATTATAAAGTTTGTCTTTAAGGTGGAAAAACCCACCAATTGTAATACTTGAAATTGATATTAATAAAATCTTGTTTTACTGATCAAAAAACAACTCTATGAGCTGCTCTATTAGCCTGCCTATACACAAAATAAAATTTAACTATATCTGAATGCAGCCAAAGAGTTTTCATATTATCCAAAATAGGCCAACAAGGCCAAGGAACAGAAGCATAATCTCCATGAAGTGAAGATATAGCTAGTTTAGAGTCATATTCCAAATCAACAGGTTTATATCTCTGCCAAGTAGCAAACTTATGGCAAAATAATTGTTTTTCAGTTTAATCTCCAACACACCCTGACACTTGCCTCTTTCCATCTGCAGAGGCACAAAAACTAGTGATATTTTCTGTCCTTTATAGTAATATATGAACCCACTTCAATACATTTCATTGGCCTAGATATTAAAGCAGCTGTTGATCCCCCAACCTACTTCCTAGTTGGGTTTATCAATTCAAGTATTACTGGTATTCTGACTGCCCGGCCACTTCAAAATTGCCAGTTACCTGGAAATGAAAATTGATAACCTAAAGGATATTGTTTTAAATTTTTTCTTTTGCATATGATGGAGCAGGTTAGATTTGAGATCATTTTCTTTTTTACCTTACCAGGTCTAAGTATTAAATAATATTCATTTATGAGAATATTGATGGAGTTCTGGATCTTTTTGAATTGACTTATATTCTGATTTCATAAAGTCAGGTTTTGATCAATGAGCTGGTTCATAGATACTTGCTATGATACACCAAGTAAGAATATGCCAGAAAAGTAATGAGCTGCTTCTTCTTGTGCAAACATTCTTGGTAAATTGGTGAAAATGAGTTACCCATTTTGAAAAGCTTACATAGCTTTGGGCCATGGGTCCTCAGGCCGGATACATCCAAATTTTAACAGATACTTGACTCAACAACCCATTCTATTTCTACACCATAGAGGTTCTTTGTCCAATTATTATATTTTTACATCATTCCAACTCTTTTTTTTTTGAGATTGAGGGAAAATCAAGTGTGGTTTATTCACAATCCTTTTCTAAAGAAATGTTCTCACAGTATGACAATATAACCAGAGAGAGAGATTTTATTTGAAGAAATATATTAGTGAAACAGAGTAAGTATATAATATGAGATTTATTCGTTTAGTAAGACCACATTTACAAATAGAAGAAGCAAAACATGCATTGGAAAACCATTAGCTAGCCCTGCAAATTAAGTACTAACTGTTAACCAATTTTAGGGAACTATTTGACATTCCCATACTGATCCATCCAAATCCGAACCCTGTCACAGTGATAATTCATAGTCACCATCCTTCTTTCTGGCCTTTGGATTCTTGTTTGCAATAATAGCAGCTGCTACTAATCCGTTCATGCCCTCCAGCACCAGCCACATGCTCTTCCCTATATCTGTCTGTCATTAACAAAACTCACATGTTAGAGTTTGTGCAACAAGTAGGTATTTATACAGTGAGGTTACTAGGGAACCAGGGGTTTTTCTGGTTGTTTTGCTGGCTGTTGTCTTTGACCTTTGAAATTTGACTTTGGAACATTAATATTAATTAATTATCTTATCTAAAAGGTAGGATAGGCAACTAGTTGCAGAGTTGCATCCCGATTTGTGGAGGACAATTTTGACCATCCAATTTAATGGTATAATTATTGATTCTCCTCAATAATAATTTTCTTACCTAAACAATAACATAATAATATTATCTTTCATTCATATTTGTATTTGAATTTAGTGTTGACCAGAATATGCACTTCTTCCAATCTCTAGGATTGCCTCCCTCCCTCCCCTATCACCATCACATCCCTGAAAACTGCAAATAAGCTGTCCTCTTTCTGAAAATGACCAGAAGAATTACATTACGGAATTTGGACATGTCAGTTTGCCATCTTTTTAGTCCCCCGCCCCCATTCTTCTCAATGTTCATGGTTATTATGTTTGTAAGTCAAAATGTTCCAAGTTCAGATTAGTAGATCTTAACCTTGATGGTGTTTGAATTTGTCTTCAAATTTACCTTTTGTATTCTTTTAGGCTGTGTTTGGTTGGAAAGAAGAGGTAGGTAAAGGTAGGTAACCTGTACAAGGTTTGTATTAGGTTTCCCTTCCTTTGCCTACCTTTTCTTTCAAACCAAAATTTTAGCATGTTTAACAAACTATATGAGCTGCTCCATTTGCCTGCCTATACGCAAAATAAAATTTAGCTGCACCTGAATCCAGCCAAAGAGTTTTCATATTATCCAAACTAGGCCAACAAGGCCAAGGAACAATATAGCATAATCTCCATGAATTGAAGATATAGCTAGTTTAGAGTCATATTCCAAATCAACAGGTTTATATCTCTGCCAAGTAGCAAACTTATGGCAAAATAATTGTCTTCAGTTTAATCTCCAACACACTCTGACACTTGGCTCTTTCCATCTGCAGCAGCACAAAAACAACTAGTGATATTTTCTGTCCTTCATAGAAATATATGAACCCACTTCAATACGTTTTCTTTGGCCTAGAGATTTGTTAAAAGGCTGTCATCAGTTCACCTTTAGTACCATAGGGTCACTTTTGTATTTTTACCTTATATTTTTTTAATCACCCTAATATAAATACCAATGCTGGAGCTGCCAGCATAACTTCTGGCTCTCAATCTTCTTTTCTTCTTCTCTCTTCTCCACTCTTTTTCTCTTCTCTAGCTGCTTTCTACTTATTATTTTCAGGTTAATATGGTATCGGAGCAGGTTTGTTTGGCCAGAAAGCAAGGTCGATCAAGTGTTTCTTTCCTTTTGCTATGTTTTCTCTGGAGAAGGTAGAGAATACAAATCGGACTGATCTGAGGAAGATTTTCAGATCTTTTTTTCTTCCTCTCTTGATTATATACCAAGAAAAAATTCTTGTAACAGGTTAGTGTGATTGATGTGAAGGATTTAGTACCTGTTTTCAACCTTCTTTGTGGGTCGTGTGGTCCTTGTGGTGTGTATGTAGGTCAGGGGATGACCCGTACTTGATGTAGCAGTAAGGTGAAAGTTTGGTGGTCGTAGGGCCCAAATCTGTCCTGGGTGGTGATTGTTCCATTTTTATTTCATGCTGTATATGCATTCCTGCAATAGTACTCTGTGTGAACTGGAGAAATTAACCTCCAGTGCTGGATTGTGTGTGGACTGAAAAAAAAAAAATCTTTCTGGTGCTGGACTATAGTGCATCCTTGCCTTTTGTAGCTGGTTAGGTGTGACATGAAGCAATTACTATGACTTTTGAGGATTTGGCTACCTCAGGTGTATCCCCAATCCAAAATGGGCTGAGTGGGGGGATAGATTTGAACTTCCCTATGGCTGTTATTCCCCTAGATGGGATTTATTACCTAGATTGGTCAAAGGGGATCAAACTTTATATCACTGCAAGGGGGAAGATAGTGTATATCAATGGAAAGACCAAGGAACCCAAGTCTAGGAGTGTTGAGTATGACAAGTGCAACCAGGAAATGAACATGGTGATGTCATGGCTTCTAGTATCTATGCAGCCTTAAGTGAGAAGAAACTTTATGTGGGCTGGTATAGCTTATGAAATTTGGGAACAATCTAAGCAGCATTATGCAAAGATTTATTAG